CCCATGAAGGCAGAGAACATGTCTCTGCTTGGCCACTATATCCCCATTGCCTGACATGGAGTAAGCAATCAATACAGATTTATTGGAGGAAGAAATGAAGGTCAGGAAATGAAATATCTTGCCTAAAGTAGTAAATGGTGTCACTTTACAAGAACATAAGCTCCATGAGGACAGGATTTTGGGCTCCTTTTTCCACTGCTATATCTTTGGCATCTTCAGCAGTGCCTGGCACATAGTAGTAAATATTTGTTGAATATTGATCGTGCTTGGATGCTATTCCAAAGATTTCTTATCCAAATCCAGGACTTTTCCCCTCTTTATGCCAAATCTGTCTGAAAACGGGGATTTGGAATTATCCAGTTTCTCTGTGTAGTAGAGAAATCTGAGAGTTGCTGTTGTGACTCAGTAAGGTGGCTTTGCTTTCTCTGTGTACAGGTCTCAAAGGGCATCCAAATGTCATCAGACAAACAGCAGTATCTGTTCTACATCCTGTACACCCCTTTCTACAGGCTGCCAAGCTAGATATTGATGTCATCCATCCTGCCTCTTCTAAATCCTCTGGATAACATGTTGAATAGCTATCAGAACAATTTCTCTACCAGTTTTTATTTAACCATTTGCAGACTTAACAGTATATTTTTCTCCAAAAAATTCATTTAAATGGCAGACTGGAAACATTTTAATGATCTGTCAGAAAACCCGTTTCATGTTTCAGATACCAGCAGCTGTGGTGGTATTTACTATTTGAGTTTAGGAAATGATAATTTTTTGATTCCACTCAATATTTCTCTTAAGATCTTCAAATTTGTTGAATATTTTCCTGATTAGGGACTGAACAGTTTTGGCATTAAGATGTGACAACGCACAGGTTTGTGCTTCATCCTGCCCTTTGCATTTTCAGAGAATTTAGAGTCATACAGTGTTACCAAGGATTGTTTGTTTATTATAGCTGCCACCCACAGTCCTGAAGTCAAGTCACGGTTTGTGATCAGTAATGATTGGTGCAGAGTGCATATGTAAAGATGGAAGTACCAATGTCTGATGGCAGCCATGACAGGCGTCCCCCTCTCTTGGGAAAATCGTTATGTTTTCGGAGATTGGATATCGAGGGGGAGAAAATGGTTCCTAGTTTTTGGTGACAGACCTTGAGCTGGGAGGTAAATGCTGGTCATGGAAAGATCTGGTTTCTAGTCTGGACTCTGCCGTGTTATTTTGGGCAAGTGCTGGTCTTGGGGATTGGGCTCCTCTTCATCAGTAAAATCATGTTGACCTCTTCCAACTTTAAGAGCCATTCATATGTATCTTTAGCATGTTAATTCTTTTGAGAAATTGATTGGCTACAGGTTAATTATACATTAGTTCTGATTTTGATAATCTCATTATATAGCTGGTTCTGTTAGCCATCAAAGGAGAATTTAGTAATTTTTCTTACTGGCTTTTAACCTACTGCCAGACATCATTTTGCCACATTTTCCTCCTGAGATAGAGCAAGATTTGCTCTTTAAAAAAACATCCTGTTCAACCCAAGGAATACCATTCCCAACCAATTCCTTTTGAACCTTGGTTTAACCCAGGATGGTTTTCAGGACTCCTTTGGGTAGGGGTTTTTCAGCTAATCCTGGTCTTTACCTTTGTACTCTGTTGGATCACCGGGAAATATGGGACAGCATGCTCAGATTAATGGCCTCAGAAATAGACGTAGAGGAGCTCTGAAATTAGAAGAATTAGTAGCACATTCATCTTTTTTTTTTTAAATCCGTTAAGCTCTCACCCAGAATTTTTTTCTGTTCATTTGCGGACACTAAAAGTTCTGGTACCCTTTGAATGGAACACATTACTTTGAAATGTGGGCAAAATGACTATTACACAGTAGACCCCAAATTGTTCTTTCAAGATCTCAGAGTACCCTATTTATATTTCTAAAGGGAGCATTTAGTTCTTAAAGTCCAGAAGATTCAGTGAGGTCAGAAAACCAGGGTGAGGCGTCCCTGGTCTTTGCAAACTGAGTGTGATATAATCTCAGAGAAGGAAGAGGAGTTTGTATTTCTCTAGTTTTATTTCAGATCTACAGCTTATCAGAAGCCTTTGCTTGTCCAGCATTCTTCTAGCTGGAGAACTGATCCCTGAGTCGTGTGTTAAGGCGCTAATGTCTGCAAGTTTTGGCCAAAACTCCAGTTCCACTGGATGGGAACAACATGCTTCCCTTTTTATTCTTCTCCGCCTTAGGATCCTGTCACCACGTTGGGAAGATTAGACAGAAAACTCTCTGCAGTTTATTTTCTTTTTGAACAAGTTACATTGTGGAGGGACTTTTAAGCTAAAAGAATAAAAGTTCCCTCTTTGTTAGAGGCAGCAGTGTGTAGTTTCAACTTGTCTTGGACTTCCTCGGAGATGTTTTAAGATCCGGTGTAAACTTGCTGTGGTTTGCCTTTGGGCATCAAACTGTTTAGCTTGGCTGTATTATATCTGTAATTGCTGCATTTTAATAATTGCCCAATATTATTGTCAGCAATTTGCAGTCTATATTTTTAATAGAACCATTTGCCTTTCTTTTCCACAGGTTCATTCAGACCTGGTTTAAGCCCCAGGATTAACGCGTACAGTCGGACAGACCCTCTGCAGCTGCGGGCAGGGGGTGACACAAGCTCAGTCAATAGTCTCATAAGCCTCATGCTGATTATAGTTTATGTGCCCCATAAAAATCCTCTGGGAAGCCATCTTCTGAGATTTCCTTACAGAGTTTTGCTTTTGCTGAAATAGCGTATTCTTTTAGAGAGGGTTTTCCTTATCAGTCCATTCAGGAAATCTAATTTTTTTAGGGGAAAAGGTAGAGACAAATTCTCTTTGCTGTCGTTGACTTTTTAAGTTAACAAAGGACACTTCATTTCATCTGAGGTGATGTGGAATTATGGGGACAGAAATGTTGGACCTCAAGGGGTGATTGGAGGCACTTTCTTAGCTTTCAAAATTATCTCTATAATTAGTCAGTTTTTGAGACAAGCCCATTGTGCCACCCATGGCTTGTGCCTCGACTGGCAATTTTGTTCTTTTAGTGATTCCATCCTTTAGCTTTCTCCTTTTTGTATCTTTTTTTTTTTTTATAATTTTATTTATTTATTTATTTTTCCCCCAAAGCCCCAGTAGATAGTTATATGTCATAGTTGCATATCCTTCTAGTTGCTGTATGTGGGAGGCGGCCTCAGCATGGCCAGACAAGCGGTGCATCCGTGCGTGCCCGCGATCTGAACCCGGGCCACCAGCAGCGGAGTGCGAGCACTTAACCACTAAGCCATGGGGCCTGCCCTTTTTTGTATCTTTTGTAATGTTTATTTTGTAGTAAATAAAAGACTGAACTGGTTTTACAGTAGCTAAGAATTGCATAAATAACCACACTCTAATTTCTCCACTTTATTGGTATAAATATAACTCAGAGGGAATGGACAAACTGATGATAATAGCTAACATTTATGCATCACTTATTATGTGCTAGGCACTGTTCTAAGCAACGTGTATATATTAACTCATTTAATCTTCACAACAGCCCATAGGGTAGGCTCATGTGTGAAGAATAATCTGCCCAGTGTCACCCATTGGCTGGTGGCAGAGTGGGTTCACACCCAGGCAGGCTTTTAAAACTGCCCTTATAATCCATATTTTATTCATACTAGGCTTTTAATCACTATCGTATACCAAGATTGAACCACAGTGCCTCCTGCATATATAATAATTTAGTTTTAAAACATATATCAAAATTATTTTTGAAATTAGAACTTTATTGTTATTATTTCTGGATAGGTAGTATTTGCAAAACCCAAATGGGAGTTCAGTGAAAAGGCTCCTGCTCCCTCCCACCGCTGTCCCCCAGTCACCCTGTTTCCCTCCTTCTCATAGGCAATTAGTGTTCCTACTGCAAAGAGCCATTTTAAATATCTTTCTCTTAACACTTGATGAGATGAACTAAGACCATTTAATTAGAAACTCATTTTGCCATTGTTTTTATGTTTTTGTATGTATCTACAAGTGCCCAAACTGGCTTTGTCTCTGAAGCAGCAAGCTGGTGCTGTGGATGGTACTCCCTGGGTGAGGGTCACAAGGCTGCAATCCCCAACTAGTTGAGATGGTTCCTGGAAACTCCATGATCCTGCCTTGCTCAGGGCTTAGATCAGGCAGGGTCTCTGTGCTTTTATCCAGTTGGATAACTTTTATTCCTGAGTAGGAGGCATCATGTCTTTATACAATGCTTGGAACACAGTGGGTGCTCAATAAATGTTTGTTGAACAACTTCTGTGGGTTGTGCCAGGCTCAGGGATATAGGGCTGGAAGATATACTTTAGAGTGTCTAAATGAGGTAGTCTTTAGGGTCATGGGAGGGATATTCAAGTTAACAAACCACCACAGAACTTGTCATTCAAGGCTCTGGATACGAAAAGGTTAGAAAGGACCTCTGGATCCTCTAGGCCATAACCAGATAGTTTTGGGGGGGTTGACAGTCAGGGAATACTTTTATCCTATTAAAATCTTGGCAAACAGTTGAAATAAGAATCTTGCCTTTTAATAGTTCTTTATTTTTCAGATTGATTCTAAATGTATTTTAACTTGATCCTTGTGCTAACGCTGTCATTGTAATGTTAGATTGAGTCTGTAATCAGAGTCGCATGTGTTTTCTTGTTGGAACTAGGGAATTCATGTACCAAGTGTCATTGATTCCTTTAGTGCTACAAAGTATTTGGTGATGCCTTATTATAGGTGCACCTTGATTTTCTTCTGTATTCCTGAAAATTTTATGTAAAACCAAAGATTTAATAGGATGTCTTTGCAAAAGTATTTGCTATGAAAATCTTTGTTAGGTAATTACCACCCCCACCTCAGTTTGCGTGAGTGCTGTCTCGGCATCTGTTAAGATAAATTTATTTTACACTTTTTAGAAATTCTTCGTTTCACTTTAATGTGCGTTTATGAAAAGAAGTTCCTGCATTAAGTTTTCTTCTTGAATTTTACAGGCAATTTGAAAATTGGAAAGAAGGATTTTTAAGACCACTTCTGATTTGCAAATATTGATTACAATCTGAAGAACTACAGGCTGAGGTGACTGAACGGGACACACTTTTGGAGAAATAAAAATGGTGTCTCATTATGTGATGGCCGTGTTTGCCCTGATGAGTTCCGGTTTAGCCACTGCAGGTAAGCTGCATAATATAAACTGCGTATGTTATATTCTTTTGGATATATTTTTCCTCAGTCTCTTCACTTTAGAAAAATTTAGGACGTGATGTTTATGCAAAATTTGAGTATTTATGTTCTTCAGGGAAATAAAATGTTTGATTACTATGCAGATACATAGTATGTTTACCTGTGTTATATTTTACCAGTTTGTGCTAGACATTCTAATGTTAGTGACATAGATACCTAATTAACCCCCAGTGTCGAGACGGGTAGAGAACAAATATGCTAATGTTTAATCTCACTTAATTTTGCTACATGCATAGATTACATTTACTTTCTTGTCCTAAATAAGAATTGCAAGAAAGGCTTTTTGTTCTTTATCACAAAATAAATAGATCTTCTAGATAGAGGTGACACCCCTGGCATAGGCTGCTTAGGAGGTTTTTAATTTTGCCCCTTTCCGATATTTTAATATGTAACTTTTAAAAAAAGTACAGAAATACAGTATGCTTCCTGGAGGCCATCAGAGTATGAGGCTGGAGATGAGAAGAAGCAATTGACTTGGTTGGAACATTGTTGCTTCAGTAAGAGTATCCCATCCCCCACATCAACATCTTAGTGTTCGCACTCAGGGTTACTTAACACATTTGGAAGCTTAATTTGCTCTATTTTATTGTAATTTGCTTTGTGTCTCTTCTATAATGAGTTACATGATACTAATTTGTTGGACCAGTTCTGGAACCTGGCTGGTCTCAACAAGAAATGCATTGACTTGAAAAATGATTAGCCTCTTGGTTTTGGCTACTGAATTCACATAGAGAGGAAATGATAGTGATGATAATTATCATTTATTGAGTGTGTACTACAGCCAGGCACTGGCTAAACAATTATAGAATATAACAATGAGTAAGTATATTCTTATTTCATGAGGTCACTTCATCACAACTCTGAGGTAGGTATGATTATTTTTCCCATTTTATGGATAATGAAATAAGATACGGAGAGATCAGATAACTTGCACAGTGTCGCGTAGCTAGGAAGTGGAGGACCCAGGTTTTACATCTATGCTCTTAACCTCTGTGCTCTCCTGAAGAAGCCAGACCCCCCTTAAGGCTCCAGTAAACTCAGACCAGGAGTCGACGTAGGCACTGGGTGACTGAGTGAAAGCCAGTTCGCAGAACTTGGTTTATGAGATTGGAAAGCGGAATGTCTCTCTTGTTACAAATATCTTGAGAGAAAGTTGCTACTTTTTTTTTTTTGAATGCCAGTGTATGAATTTGAACTGCCCCTTCTCTCTGTCAGCAGTTTCATTTTGTCTCATGATTGAAGAGTTATTTGCCTTTTAGCCTGTACGTTAAAACTGATCTTAATTAAAATCGCATTGAAAAGTCGTAAAAAAAAAGAGAGAGAAACAACTTGATGGAAAATGTGCTGTTTTGATGACAAGATGTATAATCATACCTGGCGGGTTTGAGGCAAAATTTTCTGCCTTCATTGATGCCTGGGACAAACTGAAAAACATAGCTGTTTTTGATGGCTCTGTACAGCCTCGATGTATTTGATAGTCAATCAATTTTGCTTAAGACCTTCCTTCCTCTTTCAAGCCATTCGTAAAATATCTTTTTGAGTTTATACACACTCAAAACTTTGCTGAGGTGTATGGTAAAATTGAAGATACGGTAGAACTGCAGATTTTGTAACAACCTGAGGCAACTGATCCATAGTACAGCCGTAGAGATGCCTTTTTGGACAACTTAATGGGCCAAATGAATGAAAAAGAAGGAAGAAATGTTTTGTATGTACTGATATCCAGTAGCTTTCTGTACAGGCCCAGCATGCTTTACAAAATGCTGTTGGGGGCATTCTGGATGAGTTGAACTTCAAGGTAGTAATAGTAATAATAATATTTATAGAATAATTAATTAATTACTGTGTGCCAGGCCCCATTCGAAGCGTTTTATATGTATTATCTCATTTCATTCTCATAATTACCCTAAGAAGTGTAGGTACTTTGTTTATCCTTAGTCCATAGATAGATGAGGAAACTGAAGCACAGACAGGTTAGGTAACTTCCTCAAGGTCACACAGCTAATAAGTAGCCGATTTAACTATAAACCTACTTAGTCTAGGTCTGCAGATTGAACCTTGAAGTCTCTACACGATGAGGGAGTATTGATCAGAAGGGGGTATTTGTTTAGAAAGAATGATAATGGGTTTGCTGTGGGCTGTCTGTGCCCTCTTGAAACATCAAGTAAATCACTTATTCTCTGAGTCCCTGCTAAAGCCAAATCACAGTACTAGTCACTTAGGAATATACAAAGAAATGTAAGATTCATCCCTTCCTTTGAGTTGCTTGTACTTTAGTTAGGCATATAAAATATAAGTGTCTAACAAAATAATCAGTGTATGGTGAGTGCCAAGTAAAAGCCGAAAGACCTCAGAGGGGACAGAAGGAGCAGCCCTGGTGGGTTAGAGCATCCCACAGGGCTTTGTGGAAGTGCCAGGTCTTGAGCTCTGTTCCGCAGGCCAGGCAGAATCTAGGAAGGGGAAGGCGCTGGGTTGACCAGATGGGAGGAGCGTGCCTAGCACAGTACATGGCATTAGGCGCTTGGTGTTTTTGTAACGAATGGAGGACCCAGAGAGCTGGTATGGGAATGTGGTAGGAGGGCTGTTTGGAAAGACAGATGGGAGTAGGTTGTGGAGGACCTTAAATGTCAGAACGAGGCCTGTGAATTTCATTTTGAGGTTTGGATTCTCTTCTCTTCCATTCCCCTAGCCAAAGGCATACACTGTTTAATCTTAAAATTCAAACGGTGGCCTCATAAAGTGAGGCTGAGAATGTGGTCTTCAAAGACAACAGTGCCTGGCACAGAGGCTGACATTTATCAAGGGCTTGCTCTCTGCCAGCTGATTTATTTTGTCTTTATAGGACAACCCTATGAAGTGGGTATTAGTATTATCATCATCACCTGCATTTTACAAACGAAACTGAGAGTCAGTTTGGTTAATAATTTGTATAAAGTCCCATAACTAATAAGTGAAGAGCTGGGACTTGAACCCAGGCAGTTTGGCTCTAGAGTCCAGCCCATCAGCCACTCCACTGGAGCCTCTATGTCGGAGACCCTCAGCGTGGAACGAATGAGCCTCTTTCCTTGATTGAGTAGCTACCAATGAGACACCCTGGAACCAGATTAAACCCTTTTGGCCTCAGAAGAGACGATGTAAGTTATCAGAGCGGAAGGACCCTCAAGTAATGGGCCTTATTGATTTGCATTTTCACTTCACTGACATGGCCGTGAAGCTCTGTTGTCGAGTTCTGGGCAGCAGAAGGTGGAGGCTGTAAAAGGCTTCCCTTAGATACGCGGCCAGCGGGGGGCAGAGCACAGTGCAGCACATAAAATGAGCCCAAGTTAGAGTAGTAGGAGGCTGCTTGTTCCAGCCCCATGGGTTTGGCTGGGCCTTCGTGAAAGCCTTTCCTTCTCTGCTTGTGGCTGAGGGGGAAGGAGGCAGGGGCAGCAAGCCACAGCCCAGGGTCAGTGGTTGCTTTGACAAAACTCTTGCTTTTCCTCCCTCCCTTGTTCCTTGGTAATTGTACAGCATTGTGGGGAGGGAGGGCCATGCTCTTGGTGAACAAGAGCTGTGTAAGGACCATAATGCCTCTCAGTTAGAAATTACCCCAGGTTTTTGGCCTGTAGTCTCTCTAAGAAAAGTGGGAAGTTTAAAAAATAAATGCTTGCTCCTGTGAGTTTAAGGCTCCCTAAGTTTTCACTTTAAAAACTGTTCCGCTACACATCTTTAAAAAATGTTAACTGCTGCCTCTGAGGCTTACCACGGTTAGGTAGGGCTGTGTTCCCAGGAGCCTTAATAACAAGAAAAAGAGCACACAGAGAGAATTCAGGGAAGTTGGTCTGGTTGGAAGGGATAGACTTGTCTGCATCCACCAGCCCCTTGTGCCAGGTCAGAGCAGTGCTGCTGAGGTGAATGCTGCAGAAAGGTGTTCATGAGATGTTCCACTGTTTCCATTCAGGGCCTAGAAGCATCATCTTGGAGGCTTGCTCACAACCTGCACATGCATTTCTATTGAGCAAACACATTTCTTTTTATCTCTACTGGATGTACCTGGAATTCCAGGGATAGTCCATGGGAAGAAAAATAGATGTTTTTAGTTGGAGCTATTTTCCTGCTAAGAAAGCTCTGAACTCTGTGTCCATGGGACAGCAAGCAGAGATACCAGCTGGTTAATACTTGGTTTACAATGGGACAAGCTGGCAGCCTTGGAGGGAGGCTAAACTAATAATAATATCATTTTATATTTATAGTTTTCAAAATGCTCTCATACCTGATATTTCATTTGGTTCTCATAGCAGTCCCTGGCGTAGGCAAGTATTGTTTTCTTCATTTCTAGAATGAGAGTAATGGGACTTAGAGAAAGTAATTTAGAAAGATGGTTCAACTCTTGGTGAAACCAAAAGTCAACACTCTTCTGCAGACAAGATGCACTGACAAATCTTACGGTCTTTTTGCCACAGTGCACCTGTTAGCACCTCTTGAAACGGTGCCGGCCAGGCACTCTGCTGGGTGCTTTACACGTATCAGTTCATGTAATCCTTACAGAAACCCGCTGAGTAGGTATTTATCATTATCACTGTTTTTGTAATTATTACTACTGCCACCCCTCTTTCTACTGTTATTATACTCATTTTACTAATGAGGAAACTGAAGCTTAAGAGAAGAAAGATGTAATATCTAATGAGAGACAAATCAATTTTTAAAAAAGTTAAAATGGCTATGTATGTGCAGTCATACAACTGGTAACCGGCAGAGTGGCCGCAAGTCCAGGGTTCATGCTCTGTCTGTTATGTGCCCAAAAGGAGCTGGCACTCTTTCTCTTGGGCTGGAGATGAAGGCCTGAGGACCACAGAGGTGGTTCTGCCATAGTTTTCTCCTCTCTGCCAATTGAGTGATCAGAGGCTGTAACTCATAATGGCAGGAAGGCATTGCGAGTGCTGGCGGGGGCT